CTTCTCCAGAGTGTAACTGAATGTCAGCTAAAAACCTATGGTGTGTCTGATCCAAACCATTGTCTTTTCAAACGCTTCTTACGTATTTTCTGAAAGTTGGATAATGAATAAGGTTGACAGAAAAAGAAATGATGCTTTAAATTCTGCTGATGGTGAAAAATATTGAATGTCCCATGGACTGCCAAAGAACAGAGAAATGTGTCTTGAAAGAAGTGCAATCAGTGTTCCTTAGAGGCAAGGATGGTGAAACTGTGTTTCACTTATTTTGGGTATATTTTCAGGATGAACAAGTCCTTGGAGAGAGACATCATGCTGGGAAAAGTGGAGGGTCAGAGAAAAAGAAGATGACCCTCACGGAGACAGACTGACACAGACTACCACCTGGGCTTGCACATAACAGGGATTATGAGGATGGTGCAAAATAGGCCCAGGATCAGATTTCTTTGTGCCAAGTTGCTATGAGTATAGTCAGCTCAACAACATTTAACCACCACCACCACCACCTCATATATGAAGGGAGCTTGGGTGGAGTAGCACATAGTGAGTTGCACTGCTAACCCTAAAGCTACATTTCTCCAGTGGTTTCGTTCAATTAGCAATTCCAAGGGAGAAGGGAGCAGCCTCTTCTTTACCTTTACAGCCTTGGGTTGCTGAGATGGAACTGATTCAACTGCAAAGGGTTCTGTTTTGTATGGTGATTTGTATTAGATGCAAAGTTCTTAACGGCTTCTACACTTTTTTGGTGTAGAAGAGCCAAGAAGTTGGCCTCTTCTATACTTTAGGTGATAAGTTTTATCAGTTTATTTTAAAAAAATCACTTAAAGATATTTTCACTTTGTCACTGAGTAGATTACATCAAGTTTAAAAATCAACTAGGAATTTGCTACTATAGTTTGCTTTTCATAAAAATATGCTGTTGTTGTTATGTGCCAATGAGATGCCTGTGACTCATTGCAACCCTGTGCACAACAACTCTGAAGCCTGTCCTGTCCTGAGCCAGTCTCGCTGACTCTGACCCACCAGCCCCCATTACTCCTGTTACTGTGACAATCCATCTCATCCAGAGTCTTCCTCTCCTGTGCTGTTTCCCCACTGCTCCAAGCATGATGTCCTTTTCTAAAGGACTCTCTCTTGGCAACATGCACAAAGTATTTGAGATGGAGCTTCAAAATCCTTGCCCCAGGGATCAATCTAGTTTCACCCTTCTAGGATAAACTTTCTTGTTCTCTTGGCAGTCCGTGGTATTATTTTTAATACTCTTCTCCAGCACCACAATTCAAAGGCATTGATTCTTCTATCATCCTTAGTCACTGTTCAGCTGTCTGATGCATAGCAAGTAATTGTAAAGACCATGGCCTGGGGTAGGCACACCTGAGTCTCCAGAATGATATTGTTGCTCTTTCAACACTCTGGAGAGGTCCCTAATAGCAGATTTACCCAATGCAATTATTTTTTATTTTTGTGGATCTGAACAAGCTAACATTTTGAACAACTTCAATCTCTGTTTATTTTAGTGCTGCCAAGTGGCCCAGTGGTGAGAATCTTTATTTTTTTATTTTGAGTTTCAAAACATATTGAAGACTGCAGTCCTTGACCCTCTGCAGCAAATGCTTCAGGTCTTCCTCAGTTTTGTCAAGCAAGGTTGTGTCCTCTGTATAATGCAAGTTGTTGGTAAGTCTTCCTCCATTCATGATGCCACACTCCTCCTCATAAAGTCCAGCGTCCCAACTGATCTGTTCTGCATATATTGAAATGGTATAGAAATAGGACGCATCATGATGCACTCTCTTCCTGATTTTGAACCATGTAGTGTTTCCTTCTGGAAGCAGGAGGGGCATCCACTTCCAAAATGGCTTGACTCCGGAAACTCTATGTATGAACAGTGCTCTGGCCATTCGTTCATAGGGTCGCTATGAGTCGTCTACGACTCGAAGGCATCAAATAACAACAACAACAGTGTTTCCTTGCTCTGTTCTGACAACTGCTTCCTGGACCAAGTATAGATTTCTCATTATTGAGCACTTGCTGTATGCTTGGCATTTGTCATTTCACTTGATTCTCAAAACAGCCTCATGAAGGTTGCTATGATAATCTCGTAATTACCAATCTAACAATCACACAATTACCAGAACGAATTGAGGATGAGACATGAGTGATTTGAACAAGGTTAAATGTCTCCAAGTATTTCAAGGTGGCTTGACAACAAATCCATAATGGTACATATATCTGATTACACTATGAAAGAAAGACCAATATCACCCAGCAAATAAACATGTATATTTATTGCACAAATTTCCCCTAGAACTGGGAGGTTATTATAACAATACAAGTGCACATTTGAAAAATGTACACAGAACAAGGAACAAGTATGTACATTTTACTTATCTCATCAGCGAAATAACTTAGAGAAAGCAGAACAGTCTCAGAAGACCTCTACCAAATGTAGGCATTATGTAAAATCTGTTTTGTTTTTAAAGTGAACAACCCAGTGTATGCCAATTGCAAGAAAATGAAATCTGTGCTAGTATGTTTATTGCACTTGAGATTATCAAACTCAAAATTAAGATCAAAGAGTCAGGAATAAAACAAACCAGTTAGTTTATATACAAAGAAAAAAGTCATTTCAGTACTATAAAGATCCCTTTTTCATTTCTTGTTGCAACAAACAGGTTTTTAAATATATAATGTATATTTGCCTGTACCATAAGAAATCAAAAATTTATTTCTGAACAGGTCAAAACTCTTTACACATTCATTACAATGACCATACTGTAAAGTTTAAGCCACTCAGTCCTTGGGCTTTGGCTAAGGAAAGAATGACTATAATAAAGATAGCAGAAAAGTACAGAAGGGTTAGATATTATAAAACTCAGAAATCCTATAAGGATTAATGATTCTATTAAGAAACCATAGGCCTTCTTCTTCCTAATAATTCTTAGTTTTAAAGAAATGACAGTAGCACGAACCCTTCATTGACTAAAAACCAAATTTCCTATAATTTACTAAGAATTTCAAATAGATAGGGCTGAGAATAGTTGATAATTAGTTGAAAAAAAGAACACATTCAGAAATAGAAACTACTACATAGAATTTTGAGCTATAACCAAAATTTCTCCTGTCAGGGAAAATAATATACAATGATCCATACATGAACTTTTCTATATTCTGAATTCTGCCAAAGAGATTAACACATAGAATTCCAAACAACTTAATATAGCCTAGTTTTGTTAATAAACAGAACTGGGAGAGGTGGAACAAATCACAAAACCAAAGGAAATTAAAATATACCTATGAAAAACTCTTTGGCAATAAGTCATCCATGGGAGATTCAGGTACTAGCTGGAGACAGCTTACAGGATATTGGAGCCAAACTGATCTGGGGCAAAACAATTTAAGGTTTACATTCCATTAAAGTCACCTCTTCTTTGTCTAATAGGAGAGCTCTTAAATACATATGAAGGCATAATATGACCCAATGCTACAAATTGAAAATCAAAGACTAAACAAACCATGGAAATCTTCCAATAATCAATGAAACTTTTAACATTAAGAATGAATGAATGTGTTATGTAGTAAATATATTTATAAGTGAATAAGCAAGTCCTTTTTTTCCAACTAATTAATTCTGAAAACAATAAATGAGAGCAGAACCAACTTTACTTCTAATATTAAAATAGCTGAGCAAAGAAAAAATTATAATGTAGTATTCAGGTAAACTGAGGTAGTAGTATTGGAAACTTTATCTACCCATTTTCTATTTACATTACTTACAAATGTTTGGTTCCTTATTAGCCTTTCATAAAAGCAAAAGTCCACAGTATATAAAAAGAAGATAACAAGTGAAGAGTGGAACTCTGGGCGAGGGGGGATGAAAACTAAGCAAACCAGTCTTTGGAAGGCAGAAGGGTGGTGAATGTGGACATTTACAAAAAGGAAAATTAATTTAAAAGATTTAATTTTATAAAAGAAAAAACTGAATTCTATATAGTGTAAACGGAACACTATGGAACAATGATACGACTCTTCAGTTCCTATGGGTTCAACAAGGGCTATACCAAAAGCAAGGGCTTTGGCTTCCTGAGCACGTTCAATGAAAATAGTATTTGTGCCAATGCTTTGGTATAGTTTTTAATCCTAATTTTGATTTTTAAAATTAGACATCAAATATGTAAATATTAATATTCATAAGAATTACTTATTGGTATAAACACAATAAATGGTAAAAAGTATTATTGTTATTTTGGGAATAACATCCCTTGGCCTTAGAAAAGATTGGCTTTGTTTATATTCTGAATGTGTGGAACACAAAATTCACCAGAAAGTAACATTACACAAGATTGATACTAGCTGGAAAAAAAAAAAAAAAAATATGTAAAAAAAAGTCACGTTTACCAATGCTGTATTTCTATCTATGTTCTTTTAAAAAATAGATACATATGTACACTTGGGTGGATAACATAACACATATTTACATATATTATTCCAAGTTATAATTAACAGGATGTTAAAAATATTTACTTTGAGAAACAGCCAAAAATTCACAATTAAAGCACAAAACAACAAATAAACAAGGTAATATAGAGCTCAGTACCTCTGAAATTAAGAATTAAAAACTAATGAAAAGAAAATTTCTAGCCATTTCATGAGACATCTGTCGCTATTTCAGAGCTACTTTAGTTATCTATGAAACAAATCTGTATTAATCTTCTTGTAAACTTTGACCTTGTTTCAAATGCTTTCCCCTAAAATTATGTATGCTGCTTTAGTCTCACTTTGTCAAAAATCTACCACAAACAAATAACTCAGTCAGAAGGGGGGAGGGGGAATCATCCAATGCTCACAGAATGTGCAATACAATATAAGATACCGTACCAAACTGCCAGACTCATCAGATGGAAGTCTAATAGTCGAATAGGGAAAGAATCATTATAGTTTTATGTTGTGTCTGCCTCCATGCATTTAAGTTTCTTCCAAAATTAACTTCTCACTCTTTAGGCATCTTAAAGCAGTATTTGGGCTACATATGGAGAGTGTGTGCTTGCTACTGCAGCCAGAAGAGGAAGATCACTGGATTCAATCCTGAAAAAAAGAGGGGGGGGAAATCTCAATGTAGGCTTTCTGTGGCAAGGAAACGCCTACTGCAGACAATGCCTTTTACCTGTAAGGCTACCAACCTCAACAGCCAAGGTATTAGTTTGCACTGGCCAAGAATAAAAGGATGAAGAGTTAAAAATACCACAAGTTGTAAATTTCTCAGTAAGTTTTAAGTTCAGAACCACAGAATTAAACACAACAATGGATGCAGGAAATGGTCTCATCAAGACAAAAGTCAGTACCATAATAGGGTGCATGTAAAACTTTTGGATACAGAAAAAAAATCTGGAATACAGATGACTCTGTAATAAGATATATTGAGAGAAGTAATGAAAACTTCTTGAAAATATATCTTGCCACATATAATTTATAGGAAAGGGGAAAAAACAAATGGCCAATAAACACAGGAAAAGTTACTCAGGCAACTCAATGGTTAGAGAAATTAAAATAAAACCAGACATAATTTTTCACCTAGCAGCTTGGCAAAGACTGGAAGTCTGACAGTAATTAGTCCTGGGAAGACTGTACTTCTCACTGTTTGTGGAAATTTATACAGGTACATTTGTGAATGACACCTAATAGCTCTCGTTGTTTATTGTTGACTGCCACTGAGTCTAGCACAACTCATAGCAACTCTATGAACAAAAGACCTAATGCCTTTCTATAACTCACGTCATTTCTCCAACTTCATAGTTTCCAAAGGCATGCGGTTTAGGAAGTGGATGCCACTCCTGCTTCCAAACCTGTTTTACAACTGTTATAAAAATATTTATACTTAATATTATCTATCAGTTTATGCAGTAAAAATTTCATATGCATTCAATTATAGGATAAAACCTTTAAGAATTTTATCCTACAAATTTCAAAGGTTTACAGTCATTCCAGCATTGGTTAGCGAAAAAAACCAAAACAACACAACCCTGAAATAACTAAAAGTCCATTATATAACAGAACCCTGTAAAATCATTAAAAATACTCTCAACTCAGTCAGACTGTGTCATCAGGAAACCAAAACACTCATCAAGACTTGAACAGCACTATGGTATCATGATACATGGTGTAGGGTGTTATACACTATATGGATAAACGAAAGGTCAGTGGTTCAAACCACTTGCTCCTTGGGATAAAGACGGAAAATCTCCTTCAATGAAGACCTACAATCTTGGAAACCCACGGGTCACCAGGAGTCATAATCTACTTGACAACAGTTTTTGTCTGGAGTCACAAATACCTTAAGTCTCAAGTCCCTAGTCAGTCCTACTCAGATGCAACATCTGGAATACTAACATTCAGAGTCATCTGTTTCCAATCTGATGCTACTGTATTCATGATGCAAAATGATGTATGATAAAGTATTAATATCAGTGAAATAATTTAACCTGATTTCTGACATAGAGTAGATTCCTACTGATGGTGCTTCCCATTTTCTTCACAACAGTAAGAGAAAAGTGCTAGTTTTACTTTTTAAAATTAATATTTTAAGAAGTATCTCTCTTTCTCACCCTCTCTCTCTCTCATACACACACACACTTGCATGAAAAAAGTGACCACTGTATATAAAGACACAGGAAAAGTGGAAGAGGGCTATATTTTTATCCTTCCATCAGTTAGCATTTTAAATAATTATTATTTTTCAAATAATAACTGCAGACTGAAGACAAGTTATGTAGGTTGTAAGGTAGGAGTGTTATTTAGTTAATGTACTACTATCCAGAGCGCTGTTCCTTCCATTAGCTCGTTTTTTTGTGTGTGTGTGCATGTACCGTCAAATCAGATCTGACTGGTACAGGAGGAGATTGCCCCTCCTTCCCTGGCAGAGAGCATCTGGTGGATTTGAACCGTGCACCTCTGGGATTGTAGTTGCAGCTTCTTGCCACTAGGCCACCAGAGCTCCCCATTAGCTCGTTTTTAAAGCAGAGCAGAGACTGAGGATGATGAGTTTCTAACATATTTAACAGTAAGAACTTACATTTCTTTTTCCTAAGATAAAAATTTATATTTTATTTCCATTTATATGAGTGCATGTCCAACAAAGTGTAATAATACAAGGGACACAAATGCCTTTTGGAGTCAAAGTAAGGACAGAGATCTTTTATACACTATGGAACAACTGAAACGATAATCTTGTACAGCCTTTACAGGAAAAGACCAATAGAAACAAAGAAAAAGGTACTTTTGAGGAATATTAAAGTATAGAACAATTAAAAACCAATGTTAGAAAGAGAATCATGGACATACCCCAGAACCACTCCCAGCTCCTTGACGTGAACTCTCATCTGTCCTCTCAGGTACTCAGACAGCATCTTGCTCTTGAAGTATAGTTCCTGCAATCGATCTTCAAGATGCATAACACACTTCAGGGAGGAAGAAACCAAGAACCAGGTAAGAAAATGGTTTCCAATTCTGAGTTATAACAATTCCAAAACATCACGTTTTTAACCTTTCTACTTAGCTATTCCACAATCAACTCAATTTTGGTCAATTTTAAAGCATGTAGTTTTAGATAAGCTCCTCATTCTTCACTGTTAAGAAACACTGGACAGCTGATCCTCCAAGAGATTTTCTGAGGTCATAAATCACACAGGAGGAGATTGTCCACCTTTCTACCAAGGAGCTACTACTGGTGGATTTAAAACACTAGAGGATGCAGCCAACTCCTTATGGATTAGGTCACCAGAACACTTCAGTAGTACGTAAAGGAGTGTAAACTTTTAATCTGGCTTACGTTGAAGAATGAGTTTCTACAGGATGTTTTATAGTTCTAATAAGAACTTTTGAAACAGGAAATGATTCAATTTAAGCTTTATATATACTTACAAAATTTGGAGACAGGTTATGTTTATAAAGCTGGAGAGTGGAATGAAGCAGGTTGGAAACAAGACTGGAAACTAACACTTCCTTTCCCAATTTATTATCCGTCATTCGTCTCTGGCTACTGGCCACTTGGACAGTCCATTTATCCATATCTGCTATGATACAGACAGCTTCGGCTATTGGTTCATCTAACACTGGATGCTAGGAAGAAAAGAATTTTTCTTTATGATAACCATATAAAGTGTGAATAGAAAATACAAGCAAAATGAGGCAATAAAGAGACATGGGAGTGGGGGGAAATGATTCAATTCTATTACTGTTAAAATTTTTTTGAAATAAGAGACTCAAATCATCATAGTTATTAGAGGTTTTGTAATCTTTACCAGAACTCTCTGTACTTTAATTTAAAACCAAACTTTAATCAAAAGTTTTTTAATCATTAATTCATTCAATGAGTTCACTGAATGCTATATGTCAAGTTAGTAAATGTTTTTGTTTGTTTTTTACATTAAAAATGCTAAGTATTACAATGAATGAATATATTTTTTTAAAAAAAAGTGAACTGGAGGACGGGGACAAAAATGTGCAACAATGAATGAATGAGAATCCAACTTTTCTACAAACTTTCATTAAAATCACAATTTTTAAAATGTGCTCAATATCTTTTAGATTGGAGAAAGAAGACAAACAAGTCATAGTGAAGATTCTATGCTATCCCAATTTATATGGTATTATTTTGACTGAAAATGTGCTTCTCTCCCATTTAATAATTCTTTACTTATTGACAAACATTAATAGAATAGAAGCAGTTTTATGTACAAAACAGTAGCACATAGATACCACTATAAATGCCAGAGGCTGTTTTTACATTTCAGAACTTCACTCAGTTTGTAAACGAACAAAAGTATTCTCTTTCCCTAGGATTTTTGTCTCCCTTTTTATTTGTAAAAAGTATAATACTAACAAGAACATTATCATAGCATGTCTTTAAGCTAATGTTTTCAAAGATTAAATCTGCTTGATATGCTGGAGAATGATAATTATAAGGGTTTCCCCCCTTACAAATCTAAAAAGCTAGAAGGAAATGACACTGGGAATGGAACAGTCATTTAATACACTATCTGAAATGACTGAAGAAAAATCATTTCCAATCTGATGCTTATTAGTGGCAGTTTTTTAAATTTGCAACAAATATTCTGGTAAAGTGTTTTCCTGTTAAGATGATAAAGTAACAAATTGAATATTACAATTCCCAATCTGGATTTTTTTTATGTTTGAGGATCAGTGCCAGACTTACTGTAGATTAGGAGACTATAATTATGAGACTACACTTTAATTATGAGACTATACTTCTTTCAAGGAATATGGGGGGCGGGGGAAGTAACTTTGATAGTCTAGTCTAAGAAGCTGTGTTGCAATACAATGGTTGATGGTCTGAATCCACCAGCTGCTCTGTGGGAGAAAGCTAGGCAACCTCCTCTAGTGCAATTTCCTACCTCTGAAAACCTACTGGAGGGTCAGCTATGGATCAATTCTGCTTTGAAGGTACCTAACAACAACATTTGTTTTTAATCTCCCTCATAAGACTCTGATCATAACTTGAAATTTTACTTTCTGCAGTGTACCATGGATTTACTTAACGTGCTATATATTAAGGGCTTTCTATCAATATCTTAAAATCTGATCGTAACTTGAAATTTTACTTTCTGCAATGTACCATGTATTTACTTAAGGAGTTATATGTATTAAAGAACTTTCTATCTTAAAATCTATAATGTACCACAAGTTTAATAATATATGGATGCTCTAAAGCGCCAATCCAAATTAGGTGCTATCATTTAAGACATGAGGAACATCACTATCTATGTGCAAGATACATTAAGTCCAAAATATGCATGCAGCAATTCTAAAGGGGGGGTGGCATAGAAGGGAAATCAGCATGTACTGGTATTTATCCAAGATAAACTAAGAGGTAGGGGGAGAAGTACTCTGCTTGTACTCACTCGCTCACCCATGCACACACACACACACACACACACACACACACACACTCTTGTATTTTTTTGGTTTTTCCAGTTGTCTTTATAAAAAGTAAGATATCTAAAGTGCAACAATGAGTGAATGGAAATCCTCAGTCTCTGTAAACTTTCATTAAAATTAATAATAATAAAAAAATAAAAAGATATCTAAATGAAAATTGTTGTTATGTTGCTCAGCTCCATGGTCAACACTCTTGGCACCAGCAGCCAGGAAAAAAAAACATATTTCAATGGGAAAGTCTGTGGTTAGGGACCTCTCTAAAGTACTCAAGAGCAACGGTATCTCTCTGGAGACTAAGGTGTGCCAATAGAGGCCATGGTCTTTGCAATCACTTGTTATGCATCAGAGCGTTGGACAATGACTAGGGAGAATAGAAGGAGAATTGACGCCTTTGAGCTGTGGTGCTGGAGAAGAGTATTGAATGTTCCATGGACTGCCAAGAAAACAAACAGATCCATCCTAGAGAGGGTTAAACCAGGCTACTCCTTGGAGGCAAGGATTTTGGGACTTCGTCTGACATACTTTGGACATGTAAGGAGAGACAGGTCCTTGGAGAGGGACATCATGCTTGGTAGGGTAGAGGGACAGCCCAGGAGGGGAAGACCCTCTATGAGGTGGATTGATTCAGTGACTGGAGTAATCGGGATGGGTGTGTCAGAGGCCATGCGATTGGCACAGGATAGAGCAGGATTTAGGGCTGTTGTACAAAGGGTCGCTATGAGTCGCAAACGACAAATTAAAATATATAAAAAATATTTTATTAATCAAACTTTAATGAGGATATTGGATAAAAAAGTATAGGATGTAAAACTATGAAGAATTTCCAGTTTGATTCAGTGTACCAATTTATCATTTGAATTTTTATTACTAAGCATTTACCTAAATGACATTTTTATAATTTGAAAAAAGGGCCAAAAATGTACACGACTATGCCCTAAGCTTCCCACTGTCTACATAGGGCCATAAATGACCTAAAATACATAAGACCTCTATCAGGAATAAGCAACAGAATGTGGTCCTACAAAGCTCACTACTTCTACATCTCTCTGTATTTAGAAAAGTAAGGTTGATTTCTTCCTTCATTACTGACTAAAGAAAACAGCAGCAGCAAGACTGAAATAAAACTACAGACTACTGAAAGACTTAATGACCTTTTCCCTTTACTGCTACTACAACTACACAGCAAAAGGTGGGTCTGTTTTAAATCAACCGAGGTTAAATTGCCTTCAAAGGTATTCTTTTGCTTAGCACTAAACAATTAGTTTGAATAAAACTCTGTATTGAATACTAAAGAAACAATTCTGTAAGAGGGAGTACATAAAGCTTCCTCTTACATACTTCAGGTATGTTACTAGGATAGGTTATTTCTTGGAGAGGAACATCATGTGTGGAAAGGTGGAGGGCCAGTGAAAGAGAGGAGATACTCAATCAGATGGACTAACACTGTGACTGCTGTAATGGGCTCAAATCAACTATGTCAGAAAGTATGAAGAAGGCACAGGATAGGATGGGGTTCAGATTCGTCATTCACAGGGTCACTATGGGTCGTACTTGATCCAAGAGCACCTAACAACAACCACCATCACCACCACCAAATTTTGCAGTCTGAAATGGATGAAACATACAAACATTGGAAACCAAGAAGGAGGGCTGGTATTGGAAAAACACAACCTTAGTGATAGAAATGAAGCATGAGATCATATGACAAAACTCTGCATGATCGATGACTTACTCATTACAAATAGCTTTTTAAAAATGCCTAAATGGTGACTGTACATGTGGCCCTCACCAGCTGGACTACACAGAAATAAAACAGACTACATCTGCAGAAAGAAACAAAGGATAAGCTCCCTATCACCAGCCAAAACAAGAGAAGGGGAAAACTGTAGAACATGCCATATCATTTGTTTGTATGAAAGTTCAGCTTGAAGCTGGAGAAATTTCAAACAAGCCCACAAAAGCCAAAATATGACCTTAAGTATGCTGTTATTATTGTTCCATGCAGTCAAGATGACTATGACGCAAAGAGATTCTATAAACAATACATGAAAACCTTACCTTACCCTCTGCCATCCCCAGAATCTCCTCCATGCTCAAACACACAATTCTAGTCATGGTGTCAATTCGTCTTGTGGAGTGTCTCTCTTCGCTGACCCTCTACCTTTCTTGTTGTTGTTGTTGTTATGTGCCGTCGAGTATAATATATTTTTCTAAGGATTGGCCCCTCCTGACAATATGTCCATGACCAATCCTCAAAGGGTATCATTCCTCAAAGGAGTACCATCGGTGTACTTCTCCAAGACAGAACTGTTTGAGGTTTTGTGGTAGTGCATGGGATATTCAGTACTTTGTTCCAACGCCACAATTCAAAGGCATCAATGCATTCATCGTCCAGCTTTCAGATGTATATGAATGAAATGAAAATAATCATGGCTTGGATCAGGCACGCCTTGGTCTTTAAACTGACATCATCTCTCTTTTATTACTTTAGAGAGGTGCTTGACAACAGATTTTATCAATAATGAATATATTGCATCCTAAATTTAGGTATCATCTCAAAATCAAATTTGATGCACTCAGGATTAATGACTAATGATGATAGAACTGGCGAAAGATATCAGATGTGAAGAATGCAAAAGGTCATTAAAAAGACAGGAAGGAAGCTCTGGTGGCCTAGTGGCAAGAAGCTATTATGTAATCCCAAAGGCACACAGTTCAAATCCACCGGATGCTCTGCTGGAGGAGGGACAATCTCCTCTTGTGCCAGTTGGATGCAACTCAGTGATACACAACAAGGAAAAAAAAAGAAAGGAAAGGCTTTATAGATTGATATCAAAGAGAAGTTGCTCTGCATTGTGAAGAAGCTACAGTAAAAGGAAGAAATGATTAAGTAAGAGATGAACAAATAGTCTCAAAGAGTAATCTGAAAAGACAAAGCAAAGTACTATTATCAAATGTGCAAAGACATGGAGTGAGAAAATCAAAAGGGGAGTGCATCCTCAGCTGAAAGAAAGGAACAAACATTTTAAGTTTTGCAACTGAAGTATTCTATATTTGCCAATAAAACAAATAAGCAAGTATTTTGAAAAATGGTCTCCAATACTTTGGGGATTTAGTCAAGAGGGAACAGTCCATAAAGAAGGACATTGTGCTTGGAAGTG